AGTTAGCAACGGCGTCTTGTCGCGATTTATCTACGCAATCTGCAGAGCACTGTACATACGTGCCTAGATTCGTGTCGCTCGTCACCGGCTGGCCCGTCAACGATTGCATCTCCGGCGACAAACTCTGACGCTAATGTTTTGGGGGATAAATAATTGAATCTTCTAATGCAGATTTGGTTGGTATCAGATCGACAAGCGAAAAGGAGATAAAAGCACCGTCAGCATGCACCTTCGATTTTACTATGCAAAGTTAAGCTCGGTGGTTCTGCTTGCGATTCGCATGTGTTACTGTAGCTGTCATTTCCAGGAAGCTAGGTTAGCACGTGTGTTTACCTTACCTGGTCAAAGGTTTTACTACGTAATGACGTAAACTTTTCTTGAAGAAACTTCTAAACATGTGCAAGTTGTCACAGAGCACGTACGTTCTCTGTTGGTTACAGTCCTAGGGAAAGATATCGACAAAGACACTGAAATAATAACTAGTATCAAATCTTATCGTCAGATAAAGAAAATGATATCCCCGGCTGCTATCCTAAGTGGAGCTATTAGTTCAAGGGCCTGGATTAGTTTCATCTCTCTTTTTTTTTTTTGGGGAAAAGTTTCATCTCTCTTTAACGTCGTCACAAGTGGTCTCTTTTTTCGCATTATTGAATCAGCAAAGAGTTAAAGAGAATGCTGTGACCTACTTGATAATTGAGACCTAATTCCATCCTCTCCCCTTTCCTGTGGATATACCGAATTAATCTGCCATGTTCCAAGTTGCATACCTGAAAATAAGAAAAGGAGATGGCATCATCGGCAAAAGGCCTAACTGACCGAAGAAAACATGCGTTGTCGCCGATGTAGCTTGCAGATACCTAAACATGGCGTTGTTCATCCAACCTATCCTATGTTTGTGTTTCTTATCGCCTAAAGACGCACGCATCTGATAGAATGGTGATGCGTGTTCTGCTCCCTGCTCCCTTTGTGTCCTATGAATCAGGTCATAAGCTACTGTTTCTGTGATTCTTGTTGGTTGTGATAATTAATTGCACACTGTTTTCTCCATGAGCTTAATCATGGGTCATTGTATTAATTGTTTGTAGCTCGTTTGAGTAAAGGCCGGATATTTTATTCCATTATCTAAAAAAAAATTATGAGTCTTTGTATACTTATCATTACTATTACTAGTACTATATACTCCCTCCATACTTGTAAAGAAAGTCATTTTGGACAATGACACGGTCTCCAAAACATAACTTTGACTTGCTGTTTCTATAACAATATTTATTGAAAAATTATATATGTATACTTTTATAAAAGTATTTTTCAAGACAAATCTATTTATATAATTTTTACATTTTCAAACTCAACAACTTAAGAGTTATTCATGATTTATATTCTCAATGTTTGACTTAAATATTATTTTAAACGACTTTCTTCATGATTACGGAGGGAGTATACTTGTCAATGTGAACTAGTACCAACAGAAGGATCGTGTGACGACTGCGTTGGGGGCAACCCATGTGTGAAGAGAAGCAACGATGGGTGGAAAGCTTTGTTTGGTCGCGGCTCGTGAGCACATGTATTTTTGTGCTTCAGGATCAGCGCATCCATCCGGTCGATCGGCCGCCGTCTGGCCTGTCACACGCACAGGACAGTGTGTCGCGGGTGGAGAGACGTCTCGGCCCGGACGCATACGGGAGCAACCCACGTACGCCACGCCGCCGCCGTCGCCGCGCGGCTCGCATCGCAGGATGCAGCGCGTGGCGCGGCGCGGCGGCAAATGCACGTCACAAGGCGGCGCGGTGTTGGCGGACGTGGTAGGTCGTCAGCCGCTCGCAGCACCGGTGGTGGGCCGCGGCGCGCGTGGATCGCGTGCGTGTCGTGGACTGGACTGGTCGGGGAGTCCGCGCGCAGCGGGTGCGGGGACTCGGGACGGAAGAAAGTCCAAAAACGAGAGGAGAAGCGGGGAGCGCGCCGGGCCGGTGGTTTCCTTCCAGAGGAGAGGTGAGGTGAGGTGAAGCGTGGGATTGGGCCGTGTGGCACCGCGAGAGCATGGCGGAAAGGCCGAGAACGCGCACTGCGCGATTGGCTGGACCGGGCTTCCGGTACACACGAAATCAGTTCAGTACATGTGTTTTTTTAAACTTGTAAGAGCATCAATATACGTGCTTGGACAGGAGAACAAATTTATGCACATCAATATATTAGCAGGAGATAAAAAATTTACAATTATGACCTGCTGTAGCGGTGATGAGAGTTTTACACAGGAAGAGAGGAGGGCAGTTAGCTAGGCAAAACTAGACCCTGAACAAGCAAAAAGACAGAAAAATAGGAGATAAGGATTATATAACAATAAAAACTGCTAGAGGACTCGACTTCACTTCCCTCCAGAGCCTACCCTCCTGTGGGATACGAGTGACCAATGTATGCACCTGGAAGAGGACCTTATTAAAGACACGAGTTGTCAGTATCCTGATCTATATTCTAATATCTTACGACACTACGATCCTATCAAAACGAAATGATACCGATTTTACCTAGTGTCCTAATTTTCATAGTATCTTGATCCTACTATTTAAGTACCACACGACCCTACGAAATCTTAGGTAGTATCCCGATTCTACGATCCTTACAATCATACAAAATATTATTTAAAACAAAATGGTTTGAAAATAATGTAAATAAATATGCTCAAGTTTTTTTAAATCAGTTAAATATATCAAAAACTAATGTGGTTTCTCTCGATAAATGTCTCTATTTGCATGACATATATTATTACTATATTTTTTTATATAGAATGGATATAAATATAAATATTAATTAAACTTAAAAAAATCTCATAGTATCCCGATACTACTATACGATCCTATCATACGGGACGATACTCATTTGAGCAAAACGATACTCGATACTACCTAATATTCTAATATTCTGATACTTGTAACCTTGAAGACACGAGCATTCCTTTCCAAACATAGACGCTAGGTAACGAGAAAGATGAGGGAATCAAATCCTTTCATGAGATAATCGAGCGGTTGTCGACGAGAGCCCCCAGCATACTTCAAGTGTGGACTGTCAACGGGACGAAGAAGTGGCCACTGGCCAGTCCTATCTTGGCTAGCAACTCGTGCTAAACTTGTCACGCACTCACCGGATTAGGCCCATTATCACTTTTAGCTTGTGTGGTCCCAAGTGTAGAGTGTAGAGCTAGACTTTCGAGTCCAAATACTCAAACAAGGCCGAAGCAAAGCTGAAATTAGGCCTGTGAGAAGTACTAAAACGGGCCAAATCCATCCCAATTCGAGTTAAAATCTGTCCTATGTAGATTCCATAATGAGCTAATTCAATCCCGACTTGAGTTGGAATCAGACTCCATAAAGAGCTAATTCAATCCCGACTTGAGTTGGAATCAAGCCCTGATATCTCAGCCTGTCCAAGCTCTCATCGACAAGTACTTCGAGACCCATAACATCCGGTCTGATATGTTTTTTTGAGCCCATACAGCACACACAATGCTTCACTGAGTATGCTGCTTATTCATCTGTCACATGGCTATAGCTTACCTTCTTTTGCGTCGAAAGATTCTTTGCTTTTGCATTGTGCTAACTTTTATTTTCAACGAGGGGGAGTGTTCAGTTTCATTTTGCTATTACTATGGTTAGTCTGAATTAATTTCGTGCCCTGAAAGATCTGAATCTGTTGAAACTTCCTCTGCGTTTTGATCTCAACACAGCAGCTTTCGACCGTTTTATACCGTGTAGACGGAATCGAGACGCAGGGAAAAGGAAATTATGGTCTGTGCGATGAGTGTCCACGCAAATAAGTAAAGTTTGCAATGCAAACCACCACTTTAAAGTTGGCCACTATGCGAGATACTTTACCTTCTTTTGGAGCCATCCATCCATCCCTTCCCTTGTCTTCTTTGCTTTTCTAGTGTAATCTGATTATCTCCAATGTCATGCATATGGGCAGCTAGCTTAGCTTAGCTTAGCAAGCTGCGAGTTGGGGGATACTGTATTTTAAAGAGAAGCTGCACTCAAGCAAGAGAAAAGTAGTTGAGGAAAGCTAAAGTGCTGGCTCAAATTGGGATCGATCGACCAATTCTTTCCCACAAGTTCGTCGACATCTTGCAGAGATGTTGTGTACCGACCTGGCTCTTTCAGTCGGCAGGGCAGAGAGGAGTGAACCTTGGCTCTGAAACTGAAGGCGACGCACTTGATTCAGACATGTAACTGAACTGAAGAGTCTCAAGTTCGTACAGCAAATCGTTTCACTTCAAATAGTTGTGGCTTTGGGTGGTTGTTCTATTTTTGGGACAAAATGCTTGGGACCTTTATTTATTCACTACTACACTTTAAACACATGAATTTTCTTTCCACCCTTTGTTCTGATTAATTACAAGTTACTAGTATATCCTAGGTTGGTTTCTCTAATGGGCTAATTCAGTATACTGAAAAGAATCCAATGAAAGCTCAGACTTCTCAAGCATAGTACGTAAGAAAAGAACAGATGCCAAAGACAAACGTAGTTCTTACTACTAGTTGCTACTAGCAACTAAAATCAATTGTTACTTTAGATGGCTTAACTGTTATATTCTTTATGTTGGAATCTGTCCACGTAGTTTCAATTTTTAAGTTCCAGACTTACGGATACTCATATTTGTAACTGATTATTTCTTCAACGGTAGACGATGTATTCGACAATAGTGAAGCGTTCATACGTGCATGGTGATTTCGTTAATATCCATATATACAGATTTCGTTAATCTAGAGGAAATCCAACATTGCATGAAAAGAAAAGTTTTGTCCCATTTTGAATTGTCCATGTCAACAGTGTAAAAATCAGCATCGTCGTTCGAGCAACAAGGGAAGAAACACGCACATACTTCTATGCAACCAAAGGAAAAAAATGTACGGTCGTGATCTAGGGAACCTCCCTTAACCAACGGCCGATGACACGATTCACCATCGCAAAGCCGAAAGTAATACAGCGAAATCTCCTTATAAAGCAGCCGTGTTTCGTTTCGGACACCACATGCATGCACGCGCTTTTTGTTTATGGCTACCATTTCCAACGTTGTCACGAACACTTATTGTGCTTCTCCCACTCCACTGCTCCGCCGGCGAGCCACCGCCATGGCGCTTCGTGTACAGCTCGTCCTCGCCGTCGCCGTGGTTGTGCCGGCGTTGGGGGTGGCGGCGGGTGGTGCTACCTTGGGGGTGAACTATGGCCAGGTCGCCGATAACTTGCCGCCGCCGCAGGCGGCGGCCATGCTCCTCCGCTCGCTGAACGCCACCAAGGTGAAGCTCTACGACGCCGACGCGCGCGTTCTCAGCGCGTTCGCTGGCTCCGGCGCCGACTTCACCGTCGGCCTCCCGGACCGCCTCGTCCCGCGCCTCGCCGCCGACCCGTCCGCCGCCGCGGCGTGGGTGCGCGCCAACATCCTGCCCCACATCCCGGCGACGTCCATCACCGCCGTCACCGTCGGCAACGAGGTGCTCACCGGCAACGACAGCGCCATGCTCCGGTCGCTCCTCCCGGCGATGCAGTCGCTCCACGCCGCGCTCGCCGCTTGCAACCTCACCTCGCGGGTGGTCGTCACCACGGCGCACTCCCTCGCCGTGCTCTCCTCCTCGTTCCCGCCGTCCTCCGCCGCGTTCCGGCGCGAGCTCCTCCCGTACATGGCGCCCCTCCTCGCGTTCCTCGCCAAGACCGGCTCGCCGTTCCTCATCAACGCCTACCCGTACTTCGCCTACAAGGGCGACCCGGAGCACGTGGACCTCAACTACGTGCTGTTCGAGGCCAATGCCGGCGTCGGCGACCCGGCGACGGGGCTGCGCTACGACAACATGCTGCACGCGCAGGTGGACGCGGTGCGCGCCGCGATCTGCAGGGCAAACTACGGCAAGGCGGTGGAGATCCGGGTGTCGGAGACCGGGTGGCCGTCGCGGGGCGACGACGACGAGGCCGGGGCGACGCCGGAGAACGCGGCGAGGTACAACGGCAACCTGATGCGGCTGGTGGCGCAGGGGAAGGGGACGCCGGCGGCGCCCGGCGAGGCGCTGCAGGTGTACGTGTTCGCGCTGTTCAACGAGGACATGAAGCCCGGCCCAGCGTCGGAGCGGCATTACGGCCTGTTCAAGCCCGACGGCACGCCGGCGTACGACGTCGGCGTGAAGGCTCCGACGATTGGCGGCAGCTGGAAGGGGAGAGCCAATGGCACTAGCGGCGGCGGCGCCGGCGGGCTGGTCGTGGCGGAAGGGCCCGGAGGGGCAGACGGTGCAGGGCAGGGCACTGGATTCTACACCGTGTCAGCAGCAGCACACAAGGTAATTGATTGATTGATTAATTAATTAATTATAATTACATTTTGCAACCGCATAATTACTTCATTGTTTGGTTACTTTTTTTTTTGTTATTAGTGTGGTTCTTGATTGAATGAATTGTGATTGAGTTTGGTACAAGGAAAGTATAGTTTAAGTATGCAGTGTTGTGTCGGTTCAGACGTTCAGTTGATGCTGCGCTAGCTAGTTGCTTTGCAGTGCTTCTGTTGCTAATCAATTAAATCATCAATATAGTCTAATTAGTATGTGTAACAAGTTTGGTATGCACGTACAAAACCAAGTTTTAAAATTGCAAAGAGGGGAAAATGCTGCTGTGCTAGCTCCCAGATCATACTCCTACTTTGCTATTCCATACCCAAAAAAAAAAAAGATTTGCTCATCAAGTGAGTAATCATGCTTGGCACTAGCTAGTAATCAATCAAAAGGTTAGCTACCTGCTGTGACAGTATTGGAGATTATACTAGCCCTCCTTTACAAGTAATGCTTTGTGTCACACACTTTATCTTCATGTTCCTTTTTTCATAGGTGAAGAGGTGGCGGTGCTGGGAAAGCTTGTTCGCAACCGTTGTTCTAGTCATGTCGTCCGGCCTGTGTTGGTCATGACCTGAAGAGTTGAAGATGTTCATGAAGAATTGAAGATGCAGTAGAGGAGGAGATCGATCTGCAGCATTTGCAGACAAAGGAGAAATGAGCTTGAACAAAAACGCCATTGATTCAATTGATTCTTGTGTTTTCGCTGTCCTCCGATTGGTGTTGGTTGATGTGTAGTTTGTGTACTGTAAGGAAGAGAGATGTAAGGGACATTACATGATACACTGGATTATTAATTAGTTCAGATTCAGATTTCTGAAAGGATTAGAACATTTACGCCCAGTAGATGGCCAGACTTTTAAATCATGGATTTGGATTTTTTTCCCCAAGCAATTTTTGTTAGAAATTTTGAACCAAGTGAAATGTGAGTGCCAGTTTATTGGTGGGCTTGACAGCCCATCTGAGAGTGAAGCTTTGGTAGGCCTTTGCAAGGATGGCCCGCAGAAACGAGGCCTCTTCTGCTCTTTGTTCTCACTGGCCGTGAAAATGAAAAGGTACACCGAAGGTCCCTCAACTTGTCATCGAGTTACAAAATCTTCCTCGAACCACAAAACCGGATACAACATATCCCTCAACTTACAAAACTAGTGCAAACTAGATCCCTCGATGATTTTAACTCCGATTTTATCCGACGTGACAACTGACTCAGCGTGGGTCCCACATGTCAGCCTCTTCTTCCCCTCCTCTCTCCACCTCTCTTCCTCTCTCATCTTCTTTTCTCTCACTTTTCTCCTCAGTTGGGCAGGCGCAGCCGGTGGGTGGGGAGGAGGCTGGCGGGGGAGGCGGGAGTCCAGCGGCGAGGCGGCGGCGAGCACATCTACCCTTTTCTCTCTCTCTGGTCTCCCTTTCTTCTTTGAATTCCAGAAACAGACTGACGGCCGGCGACATCCGCGAAGAGGGGGAGAGGGAGAGGTCGGTGGCGATGGATCCGTCCTCCCGCACCCCCACTTCTCGGCCTCCGCCTCCTAAGCTCGACTTCCGCCCCTATTGTTGGAGCCCGAGGTGAAGCTCCCACCGCCGTCGTCAGAGGTGCCCGACGATGATGTGCCCGTGAAGGTGTTTCTCCCGTCGTGGCTGCACCTCCAACTTGTGTACAACATCCTCACGCCGCGGTCGTCACGGCGGATGGAGGCGGCGTTATACCCGGTTTTATGGCTGAGGGATGCAATTCGACCAAGGGCAAGCGACGAGGGAGGTATAGTAGACTTATTCCCGAAAACAACGACGCCCGACAGGCGGCCTCGTCCGTGCAAAACGCGCCTTTCTCCTGGGCCAGCGCGGGTCGCGGTCCTCACCGAACGGCCGCGTGGCCCGCGTGCAGAGTTTGGATGGGAGCACTAGTCCACGCCACACCTCGTCCGCTTGCGTCGTCTCACTCTCAACCTCTTTTCGGCGTTTCCGCATGCGACGAACCTACCAACCAACCAACCAACCAACCAATGCGCGCGTCGGCGGCGATGTGACGCCCATATGCATCTCTCCGGCCCGTGCGAAAAACCGTCCGCTTCAGTGCTTCACCCAAGTTGACACGGCCTATTGCGCTGCTTTGCGTTACTTGCGTGCCCCAGTGTCCAAATACGCAACAAATCACCGGCTCTAACACCAAACCTGTCTCGGTCGATCGTTCCATACGTACAACTCCTAACCAACACCACGAATCTATACACGCTCTCTTTCTTTCTAGAAAAAAACGGATTTCACAAGGGCAAAGGCAAACGTGACGAACGAATCGGGAGAGTAATTTGGAGAGCTGGCTCTCTCTGGGTCAAGTCAGGTCCGGTCCTGACGGAGCAAAGTAGAAAGAGTAATTAAGTAGCCGGGGCAACATGCAAAACAGCGACGCGGCAGCCACCGATAAGGCGGGCCGGGTCAGGAATGGAGGTGGCTCAATCGATCGTTCGTTATCTCGATCTCTTTCTGATCGGTCCCTGCAACCCCTGCCGTCCACACGAGGGCGCCCGTCTCTCGGTCGGTCAGCTCCGTCGACGACGTACACTGTCTGTGATCCAACGCACACCTTCCTCTCGGGTCGTCACATCCCTTTCCCTGCACACGTCGCTCGCCTCCATCGCCATGCACGCCTATCTTAATTGCCACCTCCCTGCACTACATTGTGGATGAGGATCCCCTGCAGTTGTAATAACTTTAGCATTCGTCGTGTGACCGTCAGATCAAATAAAAACAGCCAAGATTCGCCTTGGGTACTGTAGCACGCACATAAAGTCCTGTGTCGCACTGTAGCTCTGGCAGCCAGGTTGTGACATGGCGTATCTCTCTGTCGTTCATCAGCTTGATCCAACGGTTGTGAATGGATATGACTACTTAATTTGCAGTCACTATGACTGATTAACTTTCAGTTCTACTCCTTCAGTCCTAAAATTGCAGTTGGTTATAACGGTGAAGCAGCCGCTGCTACAACAACACCCTCCCACAATCATTTTTTTTTGCTAGGGTTAGAGGTGAATAATGAGCCAACTCGGCTCGCAATTAACGAGCTAGCTAGGCTTAGCTCTTTAACCTTAACGAGCTGAAAAACTAGCTCGACTCGACTCGTGAGTTGGTGCAGCGATGCGGCTATGTAGCCATAGCTAGCCTAACCGAACCGCCCTTATTTTTGTGTTGAACAATTCGTCCCACAAATATCTTATTTTAGTCTACTTGACATATTTATTAGCACTTCTCTATTAGTAGCATCGGACCCAGCATCTGCAAACTAAGAATAATGCACATACCGTATATGAAGGCTAAACATAGGATCTGTTTTATATTATAAGATGTTTTTATTTTTTTTAAAAAAAATCAGATTTTGTTAAGTTTGATCAATTTTAGAAAAAAAATATTTTTTACACCAACCAAACATGCATGCTACTCCCTCCGTTTCATATTATAATTCGTTTGACTTTTTTTCTAGTCAAGTTTGACCAAGCTCATAGAAAAATATATTAATATTTTTAACCCAAAACAAACATATTCTCAAAATATATTCAATGTTAGATTTTATGAAACTAGTTTGTTATTTTAGATGTTGCTAAATTTTCTATAAGCTTGGTCAAACGTGATTAGGAAAAAGTCAAACGAATTATAATATGAAATGGATGGAGTATTAAAATATATTCAAACATTAGATTTAGTGTAACTAATTTGGTGTTATAAGATAGAGTTGCTATATTTTGCTATAAACTTAATCAAATTTATAAAAGTTTGTCCTAGAAAAATTAAAACGTCTCATGACATAAAACCAAAGGAGTAGCATGTGCAAGCATAGAGAAGAGTCACTCCTCACCCAGTCTCATGCAGCCAAGGCTTAATGAAGAATTCCATCTATACTAGTTAGTCTGAAAGAAACTAAAAATAAGATCTTTTAATTGTCTTTCTTTTTCTTTAAATCTAGCTAGGAAGTACATATTGTCTGCTCTGTGTTTATTCAGAGAACTAGGAAAAGGAAGAACACAACAGCCTGTGCAGTGCATGCAGTTCGATTTCAGGTTGAAGGTCCTTGTTGGATGACATAATGACAAGACATTACATAGCATTTCACTATTCAAATTCAAGCTTCTACCTTCATGGGCCAGGAGAGGAGATAATAGTGGGCCCAGCTATGATAGCCCAGAGTTGGTGTGTCGTAGTAGGATGCATGGCCCTCCCCTCTGAAAAAAAAAGTTACTAGTAATTTGCAAAAGAAAGATGGCCCTCCTCCCTGTAGCCTCCAACAATATTAGACTGTACTACAGTTTAATGGTTCATCGTCTTAATCACTCAGATATTATACTACTAGTACTATATTATTCAACAACAAGTTTAGCACTATGCGTATGGATCACTAGAGAGGAAACAACAAACAAACTCAAGCTTTCAATAATCTATCAGTCAGCCTTCTCTTCAATACCAATACAGGTAGATTATATCCATTGATGCATGTGTTCTCCAAATATTTAAGTACGTTTTCTAAGTGAAATTATGATTATTGATTAGTTAAAGAACAAACGATGCACACTACTTTTGGTAGGGCTCCTTGCCATTTTCGAATCTAATGTGCTATCTGTAAAAAATAAATAAACTGTTCTCCTCCGTACTTGGGACCTATGGTTGGAGGTCAAAGCTGCTGCTGCTGGTTTCTGTCCCTCTCTGCATTGGCGTCTTCTGAAACGAGATTTGAATATGGTCACCAAGGGATAATATATGCATATGGTTGATGCTTATATATATATATATATATATATATATATATATATATATATATATATTATTCTTCATATATATAGTACTGATCTGCTCAAGTAGTATTAACTAAAACGAAACTAATGTTTCTGTCTAAAATGTGCAGCTGGCAAATAATTTAGCATCACTAGTAACAAAAAGTTAATTATTCCAAAGCAAAGCATTGCATATGCGAAGTGCAATGGCCAAGCTGAGTCAAGTACTAGCTACTAGCTAATTCAATTACTAGCAGCTAACAGCATGATGCAAATTAACAAAATACGGAGTATCTTAGTGCAGAAGCACATTGGCCAGACATGTATAATCATTTCCTGTCTGATGTGGTGGGGATACATAACATGAGCATGCATGCATGTATACACTGTACAATATAATTAAAGATGTCCTTGATCTGTATATATCCACCGAAAAGCAGGAGCTTCCATGAAAATACTAGCTAGCCTTTTGGTAGGTATATGTCACTCTTTCACCTACAATTTTGATACTCTTATCGACACACAATTGGTTTTTGCTGTACACAGTACATGATTTCATCACTACTATATATATGTACCACACCATGCATGCATGGCTTAGCTCTCAGAGTCAATCACTCATCATATTCTCCCATGCATGAGTGCACAACATACACCATACAAATAATATTATTGTCTGGTGATCATAAGATCGATCGATCGATCGATCAGAGATCAACTATGAATATTCGATTCATCAAGACGTGATGCACGTGTTAGGCCCTAATCAATTGTACCTAGCTGTCAATAAAGCAGCAGTAGTAGAAAAGGTAAAAGCCATGGAGAAGAAACAAAGCTCCAGATCGCGTAAGATTTTAACGCCATCAATTGACCGCGACAAGGCGACAAAAAGTATTCTTGTATATGTGGCACGAGGCAACCATATTATGTATACTATATTTTGCAGCCCAAGCCTAGCTACTATATACTACAAAATTTTTCAACACACACACACACTGAGAGTCACAGAGAGAGCAAAGTAGCTAGGGCTCAGTGGTCTCCTCTCACATCTGCCTTAGCCTTTTTCTTCTTATTTTTTATCAGCATTTGCTACCTCCAAATATCTCCACAAAACAGCTGGAGGGGCCAAAGATCTCTGCCTTTTTCTCGCCTATTTTTTCTTCTTGGCATGACACGAGAGACAACGATTTGCACCCAAACAATTACAAGGAGAACTAAATAATTTTTTCAATGAACCGCACAATTTACCGTGCGAGTTTCATATATTGATATAGCATGAGAAAAATACAAGTCTATAGCCATGAAAGAAAAAAAACAACCACACCACGTGTCTATATAACAACACCCGCAGCAAGAGTGAAACATGAGGAGAATTAAAGAATTAATGCTAGCTCTGAAAAAACACGCGCACAGGCACACAACTAGTTTATTAATCCATCCATCGAGCGATCGATCACACAATAATTAGTACACTCACACGGTGATCAGTGATCGATGATGATATATATGATATGATCATCAGAAAAGAAATCACACCTCGCTGCACTAGAAAAATGTCTTTGATATATAATAAGCTATAGGTACAATATATAACAATATATAGATACATAATATTTATATATGCTCTCTCTCTCTCTCTCCTACCACGCCGTACGTCCTTTTAATTCTTTTTTTCCTCTCTCTTGTTTCAGATCGACACAACAACTCGCTCGACCACTGCACTATAATTCGATCGATCAACACCATCATCGTCGATCGATCGATCAACGGCTCAGATCGATCGACGGTTAGATCTTGACCTAGTGTCTAGAGCTTGCTCACATGGCCAGCTCAGCTAGCTATTGTGTCGTCGTCGTCGTCTTGTACTCTCGCTGGAACCCTAACTAGTAATTAATTATTGATCACGTACGTACAATACCGTCGTCCATGCATGCATGCAATATGCGTAGACCGACCAGATTAAGAGTAGAGTTAGTGCACGCATACGCCATCCACGTCTAGATGCATCATCTCCATCGTCACCTCTTGTCTCCAATTATTATACGTTATTCATGGTCGTCAAGTCTGCGTGTAGCGACGATGACACCGACCGCGCAAGGCTCCACAGGTCGCCGTCGCCGGAGGAGAAGGCGGCGGCGCCGGCGGGCTGATCGACGACGTCGAAGAAGCCGGCCATGTTCTTGCCGGAGGCGACGTCGGAGAGGGCGCCGTTGAGCTCGTACGACGCCGCGAGCCGGTCCAGCGTGTCCCAGTCGGCGATCCCCGACGCGTCGGCGGCGGAGCAGTACTCGCCGCCGCCGCCGGCCGCCGCCAGGAGGCCCACGCCGCCGGCGACGTGCTCGAGCGGCGGAAGCTTCATGAACTTGCCGTACTGAGGCGTACTGAGGTGCTGCTCCAGCGCCGCCGCCGCTGCCGCCGACGACGCCGACATCGCCGCCGGCTTGGTCTCCTGCTTGCAGCCGGAGCGGCCCATGTACTGGAGGATGTGGTCGAGGGCGTCGTCGCTGGCGGACGAGTGCAGCATCTGCGCCTTGACGTGGTCGCTAACGGTCACCGTCGAGCAGTTGCTCGGGCTGCCCTCCATGGCCGCCGCCGCGAGCTTGGCCGCCGCGTGGTGGCTCGCCGCGGCGGCGCCGCCGCCGTGGTGCACGAGGTTCTTCTTCTTGAACACCCTGCAGATCACCCAGCCTTCCTCCTGAGCTCCTTGGTCTCCGGCGACACCGTGCATCTGTTTAATTACCGATAATTACCAATTGATCGTGTCATTATTTACTTTGCACAAGATGAAATTTAGAAGAAGACAATTAACCGCGAGCAATAATTAAAAGAGATCAGTATCGTACTCCACTAGCTAACAATGTGTCATGTACTATATCGTTGAATTTTTTCCACAATTAACGATCGATGATTGAACGAGGCATGGAAAGCTAGTTATTGCAGGTCAATTTGCAGAAAAAGTATGCACAGTGTGTGGCGACCCTAGCTAGAGTTGAAATCAGATGCAAGATTTCCCACAAGCTGAGCTAAAGAAGAAACTGTTATGGCCATGGCCAGCTCAAAAGCTAGCTTATCATCCTCCTTCTTCATGCTAGTTACTAATCAAGTTGACAAAATCTCAGGGAAAGTCATGGCGATTTGTCATATGCTGGTTGTCCTGGAGTGCACAAGTCCACTCCTAGCTGCTCCCAATTCGTTAACTAACTCTTAACCGGGCCATGCATGCAGATCACATATTGTAGTAATACTAGTACACACGTACAACAACTTCTACTACTTCTCTAGCTACTTCTCTTGCCATTTGTGTACGAGTAGTTTCAGTGTACGGATGTGGTTTGGTTGGTTGGGTGGCATTGCATTGGCATATTGGGCATGTGTGTAGTAGTACACGTTGTGATCTTGCTGGTGAGCATGCAGATTCGATGAACAAATCTGCCCCTATCTAGAGCTTAGCTAGCTTAGCTGCCTTGACCCCAAAATGCTCTCCTACACCTAACCTCACCTCATCAACCAACCATCTGATCATGAAACCACAAGCATATGCCGCCCCCCCCAATGATCCATTATATTCATCTATCTATCTATCTATCAATCTATTTCTCATTGATAATAAGCTAGAGAGGTAGTATTAATTAGCTTGATAATTTGCTCCCTTGAAGGAAAAAGTAGTGAAGCCACCCACTACCCCCCTTTTGTGACAGCGAGTGAGGAAAGCAACGCTGCCACTCTCTGAGAGAGAGGTAGCCATGCCCCATTCCCAACCACCAATATATCACCTCACCTCACGCTCACACTCACCACCGCGTGTACGAGAAAGAGAAACCCAGCTAGAGCTACACCTCTAGCTTAGCCCCAATTTTGTCCCCTGGACCGTCTACAGTGTCATGTGTATGTCGTTCGTACTACTATGATGTGTCCCTGATGAAGTGTATGTATCGTGTTACGTGCACTTACTGGGGAAGATGACGATGAGGAGGAAGAGTAGTAGGAGGGGAGGTTGACGGAGACGGAGGCGGAGGCGGAGGAGGGGTCGTCGAGGCGGTACTCGTGCATGATCCAGTCTGATTTCTGGCCGTGGGGGGCACGGCCCTTGTAGAAGACGAGGGTTTTGCGCATGCCGATGCGGTTGGAGCTGGAGTAGATGGCCTTGTCGCGGCCGGTGGCCTTCCAGAAGCCGGCCGCCGTTGCCCGGTTCGTCCTCGTCCCCGTCGGGTACTTCTTGTCCTTGTGGCTGAAGAAGTACCAGTCGTTTTGCGGCCCTGACCCAATCCTGCACCTCTCTGCATATGTATGTATGATACACACATGCCACATTGATCAAAACATGTCAAAAATCGATCGAATTGATCGATGTGTGTGTGCTTAATTACGTACCTTGGATGTCCCATGGCTCGAGCTTGTTGAGGTCGACGTCGCGGATGACGTCGAGGTCGATGCGCTCCGAGGCCACCTTCTTCTTCAGGTAGTATGTCAGGAGCTCCTCCTCCGTTGGGTGGAACCGGAACCCCGGTGGCACCACCGACTGCCCGTTCACCGATATGCTCATCGTCGTCTCTAGATCGATCGATCGATCAATACAACAACTACTACTACTACCAAGCTTAATTGCTTGTTCACTCAGTGCAAACCAAACAGGAAATGGGAGAAAGAATCACACACTGGAGCAGCAGAGAGACAAGCTAAGGTGAGTCTAGCTAGGAGATGATGGGTAGTGCAATGCTCAGAGTTTGTCCATTAACATTGACAAGGAAGGGATTAAGCTGGAAGCTAGAAGGAGATGAGCATGAATGGGGGTAGAGAGAGAGAGAGAGCTAATATAAGAGAGAGGTGTAGAGCTGCTAGGTGGTGATGGATGGATGGATATTGATCTCGGATGGGGTACAAGGAAACAAGTAACAATGGAGGTGGTTATATATAGCTAGTGACAGTGGCTAGTGGGATTAGTTTCGCGAGGTTAGGGAAGTGCCACCAACCTTGAGGGGGAGAGAAACAAAGGCATATGGCCCCCAGCGAGGAAAGAGAGCCAGCCAGCCAAGAAATGGATGCAGTACAGTATAACAAGAGAGCAGAAGAAAGGCGAGCAGCCAACATCCCAGAGCCATTGACACACGACCTTAAAAATCTCTCGGAAAAGCACAGCCAGGCCGGCCCCAAGCTACTGCTTTGCACATCGTCTAGCTATCATATATGGGGGGTAAAATCAAGCTGATCGATCGTCTCACTGGCATGGCATGGCCAGCATAACCACCGCAGCAACCACTGCAACAACAACAAACAATAACAGCATCAGCAGCAACAGCAACTCAAATCTTATGTTATTCTATCTATCTATCTATCATCAGCTTTCCAGATTTTTGTGTGGCAAATATTTTAAGCTCTAGGTTTTGCAGGAGAGGAGGAAGGAAAAAAAAGAATTGGTTTTGGTTGTAGTACTGCTAGGCTATGGCACAAGCAAGGGACAGACAGACAGCTTTTTTGACTTGTTCTAGAAAACGATAAAGAAATGTCCGTGTGCGTAATTTTTGCAGTTCAGTTGAAATGTTAATTCGATCTTGCGCAATTTTGTCTCCTCTTCTTTTCTTCTTCCTTTTTTTTTCTTTCACGAGCAAAAAGCTCAAGATGGAGACTACCATCAAGAGAAATAAATTATCATTGAAACAAAATAGCTTCATTCCGGCCATAAGTCGTCAGAGGAGAACAACGTATGTTGACTTCAGTTCCAAATTATGCTATCTAATTAATTGACCTAATCACACACACACAAAACCAACCTACTGCATTAGGCTATGAGAATTTTGCATATATGCGTGCATGCTTGCTTAATTTCCAGCACATATTTCTTATATTTATCTGCAGCTCGATTGTTATTGGTTCAGATGAGACTGAAATATCTGTGTACAAATTAGAGATGCTGCCTGGAACCAAGCTCAGATCGATCTTAATTTCGTCGACCTTCAATTTCCAAAGAGGCCATAAATGATGAATGGACGACCTATCGATTTGTACGTCATCTCTCTTTTTAAATAATAATTCTGTTAATTTGTACGTCAGAACAATAGTTTAACACGTGATTTATCAAAATCAATTTCAGCATCTTTCTTTGTATCAAAATCAATTTATGTCATCAGCACCTTCCTTTTCTGAACAGTTAACTGACACGATCGACCTGTTAATTAGGCCACTCTGTTTCTTATCCTCTGCTTTAGTATTGAATATATACACCACTGTATTGTATGTTGACAGGATATATATATCAGGAAAGTCTTAATTTTTCCTCGTTTTTACATGACACCTAAAATATCATTAAAAGTTTAAAAACATTTATTAAGATAGATTAATATAGTATATCACTCCACCAACATGAACGATGTAATTTACCCTATACAAGTAAAAAACAAATGTGAATAACCTAATCACAGCAGCCATAGTTGTTTTTTAAAGAGTTGTAGGTCGAACTTACACTTGTTTGTTTGTGAAGAGGTATATCTCAACTTGATCTATTCTATTATTTTTATATAGTTTTTAGATGATATTTTAGGTGACATACAAAAGCAAGAAGATATCTACTAAGGAAGAAAAAAAAAGACTAGCTATATTTATAACATCACATTTAGAAAGGACAGTTAAATTTTGGTTACAATATACATTGTAAAATATTCAAAACTTACACAGTAACTTTAATTAAGCACTTAAATTGTATCTTTTTTTACTAACACACACCATGTAATAAGAGAACTAGGATAAAAGTTGATTGTCTACCATAAAGAGGAAATACAAGAGATATTAATATGTAACCACATTTCTCTACTACTTAGAAAAAAGAGAGTCGTCCTTCTTCCAACTTCCAAGCATCCCCTCCCTACTTCTTCATGAATACTACTTCCCTCCCGTAAAAACCGATTTCTAAAAAAAAAAACTGTTATAAAAACCAATCAACCCACTGTATCCTAATCCTTTCAATATTAAACCGAATAAAGAAACCGTTGTACCACATATGTCTATAATTAGTGACAAAAAAAATTGACTAAACTCGAGTAAAAAAAGCGATGTTGTATTTTTAGCAAAACTGAAGGCCAGGGGAAAAAAAATACCTCCGAATATATCAGAGTGTACTAGGTGTTTGGGGAGATATCGATCAGCTTAATGGTGTAGCTAGATCGAGACAGGTGATCGAGAGAAGAGGAGGCCGGGCGGTTAGCTAGCAGCAGGCACCTTCCGATCGACCGTACGTGTAGGCCCGCGATCGAGCGACATCAACATTGTTTTCTTCTCTTTTCACCGTTTGTACTACTCCTAGTAGCTAGCACTACAAGTCGCATGCAGCGAGAGGCTATCGCTCTTACACTATTATCTAAAGTTGGTTGCACGTTGAGATCGATCGATCGATCTGACCGCGTCGCTCGCTGGCTGGCGGCTCAGCTCGCACGCTCCGAGCGTCGGCAAACGCGACGACGACGAGGTCCGTGTCGACACCGGGGGCGTGCGCTATGGCCGGTGGTGGTGACAGTACGCGTGCGCGCGTCGATCGGGCGAAGCAACCGCGGTATCAGTTTGCCATAACGTCCGGCGCTGTACGCAGGGTTTATTTTTACAAAACTGTATAGTTATCGCGTAGTTATCACGATTATCATGTACGGTAACTTCTCAGCTTTTTAATCATGGTATATCTCAAGGTAACAATACGGTTACCGCGGTAACCGTCAAACCGTTTGGGATGACGTACGGTAACTCCTCAAACGGATTGGTAAACCCCTGGCTGCACCAGACACTGACATAGCTAAGGTCTCATGTCTTATAACTTATATGGTCTATATATATGTCAGATACCTGATACGATATTTGTGTAGTTACGACCAATGATACGCGCAAACTCTTTATATATATATATATATATATATATATATATATATATATATATATATATATATATAGTTAGTTAGTTAGTTAGTTAGTTAGTTAGTTAGTTAGTGGTGGGAAGAAAAAAAAACTTAAAACTCGATTTGGATCGGCTCGAACTCATTATAATAGCGAGTTAACCAAGCTAGATTTTTAGATCGTGAGCTGCTAGTCTAGTTCGTTAGTACAAGAGATAGTTATACCTTCATATACTTGGTATTTCTTAACTAGTGTTTATTTTTTTAAGGAAAAAGTACGAATTATTCCTCTGAACTACAGCGGTCGACCAAATTACCCCATAAACTAAAAAACCAGACATTGTTCACCCTAAGTTTTTAATACCGGACAAAAAAACCCCAGGTACTGTTGAGAGCGGTTTAGGGTTCGAATAGCACACGTGGCAGTCTAGTCAACAAACATTTTTTTTAACAAAGCTAGGGCCCACTTGTCAGATCCTCACCCCTCTCTCTCTCTCTCTCTTCTCCCTCCCCTTCTGAACCGTGCAACGGCAGTGGCTGGCACGCTCTCCCGCACACGCTCGCCATGGAGGGGCGCGAGAGCGGCACGACTGGCTGCGAGCACGCCCGCACACACTTGTCGTATCCGCCGCACCTTCGCCGCCGCCCATTCCGCCCTCACCGCCGTCCCGAGCGCCGGTGGTTGCGGGCGCCCTCTTCGCTGCCGCCCACTCTGCCCGCCATCGTCCTGAGCTCCTCTTGCTGTCCCGAGCTCCGCCGCACCGAGTTCTGACCATCGTCATCCTCGGGGTAAGCTGGTGAAGGAGAGAGAAGAGAGAGGATTTTGGAGAGAGAGAGAGGTGAGGGGTAAAGAGAGGGTGAGAGACTGACATGTTGGGCTCGCTGATTAAAAAAAATGCTCACTAGGCTGCCACGTAGACCAAAACCGCTTGCAAAGCTGTTCGGGGGGTTTTTTTATTCGGTATCGATAGTTGAGGGTGAAAAATTACTGGTTTTCAGGTTTAGGGAGTAATTCGTACTCACCCAATACTTCAGAGGTGTAATTTGTAATTTTTCCATTTTTTAAGTTACATCTAAACTATTTATATATAGTGAGTTCTTTATTAATTAGTGTTTATAATTATGTCAATACATGATAAAATGGTAATTTTGAAAGATGATATAAATACGTTAACGAGCCAGCTCACAAACCAATCCGAGTTAAAATTTTAAGCTTATTAAGGTTACCGAGCTGAGCCGAATCGAGCAGGTTTGTTAAGGTAATGAGCTCAAACGAATCGATTTGGCTTGTTATTCACCCCTACATTCCACCTCTCAATAAGGGTCTTATAACTGTAGGTTTCATGTGTGAGGTACGTCAACAGTAGTTATATATGCAGATGATACGTGTTTAATTCAAGGGTGCAAACGAACCGACCCACGAACTCACTGATGGGTTACCCACTTATTTATATTATAAGTGGGTTTACGAGTTGGTCCACTTATATCTTTATAAGTACGTGTTTAGGCTACAGGTAGGTTGGTGTAGACACGGCACTTTTGCAACGCATATGCATGCCCCGCGATCGAGCGCGGCGGCGGCCGGCCGGTGTGGGTCTCCCGGCGTTTGGAGGTACATAGCTCGATCTAAGTTAAGTTGCATTTAACAAACAGCTGTGTGGATCGTACTGGTAACGTACAGATCGAACAACAAAACCGCACAAACACACGCTGAGTGATGATATCCAACTCCTATAGCTGCAACCATGATGACCGGGTCCCCTTGATGAGACTGGGGTCTCTCATTGAGAAAACCTACACTATACCACACATGTTTTTGTCAAGCAGGTGCATGTCTGCGGCTCTACTAAAAATAATACTACCTCCATATTTTAATATATAACGCTGTTAACTTTTTGTCCAACGTTTGACCCTTCGTCTTATTTAAAAAAATTTATGTAATTATCATTTATTTTATTATGACTTGATTCGTCATTAAATGTTCTTTAAGCATGACATAAATATTTTCATATTTAGAAATTTTTTTTAATAAAACGAATGATTAAACGTTGATCGAAAAGTCAACGGCGTCATACATTAAAATACGGAGGGAGTACCAGCTGAATACGTCCAACTCGTTAATATAAGTCATGCTCTCTCACAATCAGAATCAATGTTGGATGATTAAATTAAACCCAACAACCACCAGTACTAAAAACGAGATTAAACCCCACTGAATATATACTATATGTAAATTAACGCTATGAAAGTTCACGGTGGTTGTTTATCTATCTATCACTGGTAGGAGTATTTAGAGATGGTGGTCACTTTGTAAGATAAA